GTGTGTGTGTGTGTGTGTGTGTGTGTGTGTGTGTGTGTGTGTACTCATGCTCTAACATGCCCAAAGAAATCTCCATACAGGGGTATCTCTGGAAAAAATGAAATGTTGGATTTACTTAACCATGTTATGTTATACAGAGCCTGCGAGGAGACATGGGAGATTTTTTTTTCTTTTGCCTTACCTCATAATACTTTTGCGTTCCCATGCAAAAGTTGATTTGTGTACTGAACTAAATCAGACTTTTATTTTGAAATATCCGGTTACCAAAACAGGATGTGTCGCCACAAGTTCGTGAAATTAACAATGTTGTTGCGTGGCTGCACTGTGTTAAAATATCGGCAGATGACRTAATTCCATGCATGGTTGTGTGATATATTCATTCTGAAGCTGAATTAAAGCAGTAGGCTAACTCTCTAATGGTAAACGTGTGAGTTTGTTAATAAACCGGCAGGCACAACTGTGATAAACKACTTTTGCGAGGGAACGCAAAATAAATGCAGTTCATTCAGCTGTTTCCTGTCTGGGTGTGATGTGAGGTTAATGTCTGTTCAGGTTAGTGCGTATTTCTTTTCAAGGGAAAATTAACAAAAACAACATCATAAAAAAGTATTTAAAAAGAAAAGAAAAAAGCCAATGGACTTTACATGAATCCTTCACAAAAGAAATGGTTCTCGGCTTCCGTAGTCTTGTGGAGAAATGATGAATAGTAGGCTATGAGAAACACAGCCACTATTTTGAAACATTTCAACATGGTCGTGATCCTACAGGCTCACATGTTTTCTGCGTGTGATGACGTGAAGAGCATGATTATATTTTAGTTTTATCTGAAAGGGATTTCTGCCAGGATAGCTGCATATATTTTATTTGTAATCGGCAGTTGTTTTTTATATACTTTTTTATTATTGCTGCAGTTCTCACAGCAATAAAGTAAATTTCCTGCTGTTCTTGTCAGTTTTAGTTCCGTGTGTAAGGTTGTTTAGTTGTCGGCTAAATAAATACAACCACCAGATGCCACCCGACCGGCCGATCCGGCGTAATGACGTCAGCGCTGCCAGCGTGGAACGCACGTCGCTCGGCAGCAGCTCCAGGAAGTAAAGCCTCCGGTCCAGTCAGAGGAGGTTTGCAGAAATATTTTGGAGCTGTCAATAAGTACGTGTTCAATTCAGACTCAAAGCTGACGTCAGCGGGCGTGTTTTTCACCAAAGAGTCCGGAAGGACAGCGCGGCCGGCGGTACCTGAGCGTCCCACAGAACCTGGACCTGTCAGCTGTTGGAGTGAAGGTGAGTGGAGCTGTTAGCTGGAAGCTGCTGAGTGGGACACTGCAGCTGTTCTTGTCTTCTCTCTCTGCCTGAATGTGGTCCTGTCAGGAGGAAGCACCTGACCCTCTTCCTGCCAGAGCTATCAGTCATATTGGGTTTATGCATTGAGATTATAATCTCAATGCATAAACCCAATGTCCATAATTCAGCAATATCTGTTACAACATGAATGCAGATGATATGCTCCTGTAAGAGTTTTAAGCCAAGGTTTTTAGTGATTCTCTCTTGGTGGGTTATGACCCACTAGACTCGCAGGCCGTTGTTTGTGGGAAAAAAAATGTTAGGGAAAAAACCCAAAACATTGATTATGTCAGCCTTATGGTTAACGCTTGACTTGACCAAGTGACTGGATAATTTTAACAAGACATTGTTTGCTTTAAGTTCAGTGGGTGGATGCTCTGCTAAAACAACACACCTTGAGTCTCTTTAAAGCAGTGTTTCACAAAGTTGGGGTTTGGGTCCCGAAACATCAAGGTGGAGTCCTGAAAAGATTTTCTGAATTAATTACATTTTTGCCTTAGTTGTTACAAAGGAGTGAGGTTAGTGTATTTAAAATGGATAAATGT